TCACTCTCCTTCCTCGCTGTCTCAGCTCTGGCACTGACATCTCTTATTGTCTCCAAAAGAAGCTGTGTTCCAACCTCCCACAACTGTGTATGAATCTGGCAGAAGGGAAGGCAAGTTGTTGTGGTTTGGGCCCAACAGACAACAAAGAACCACACAACCGCTCACTCACCCACCGCACCCCTGCCCCTTTGGGATGGGGAGAACAAAATCCAACAGGGATGAGACAAAAACAAGAAGGGTTCACTCAGCAATTAGGGTCACAGGCAAAACAGACACAACTTGGGGGAAAAAATATAATTGATCACTATGCAAACAGGACAAAGACAAAAAAAAAAAAACAGAGCTTCAATACTTTACCCCACCCCTCCCTTCTTCCTGGGCCCAAACCACTTTGTTCCAGCTGCAGGTCCATGTGTGCTCCGCCGTGGTCCCTCACGGGCTGCAGCTGCTCCACCGCGGTTCTCCGCCCTTTGCAGGGGGACAGCCTGCCAGTCACCTCCTCACTCTCCTTCCTCGCTGTCTCAGCTCTGGCACTGCTCTCACATCTGCTCTCCAATTCTGCTCTCAGGTCTTACATCACCTGAATTTCCCCTTCTTTCCTTTGTTAACCGCAGAGTCATGTCCAGAGGTGTGGCTGCGTTTTTTGAGCCTGGGTAGCTTTTCAGCTCCTCCCCTGCTGCCAAAACCCAAGCCAAACCAGCACCCAAGTGGAGTTTGCTCCACTGTGGTTGCAACAAACAAGAGGTTCCTTACGGATGTTAACAGCTGTTCACAGAACATAAGAGCAGTTAACTCTCCTTGAAGGAGGATGGTATTTTCTTGTGTCACCTAGAAAGAATGATACAGTGATTTGATGTGAAACTGAGTGGAGTGAGTGGAGGAGAAACTGCCTTAATATTTTTTCACTTGTTTATTAAAAATTGTCTATGTGTTAAATACCTAGTATTTTGGAATGGCACTTGCAGATAATCCGGTGCATAATTGTATTTCTGACCATCAATCTGGAAATGACAGTTTCTTAAGAGTTCAGTGATGTTCATTGTTTGGACTTCTCATCCAGTTGTTAATCTCCTTCCTGTTTTTCCACAGTGCATGTTGGCAGAGAACCAGCTCTTGGGAGGCATCATAAATTTCAGTACCTTTTAGAAACAAGACCTTTGGGAATAGAGCTCTGCCCCCTTGGCAGACTGTGCTGGAGTGTTTAAAACTTCTGTTTCTGTGCATCCTCAAAGCTTGATGAATCAAGATACTGGGAGTAGCTTTTTGCAAGCCTAGGATGTCAGTATCTGCCTAGGAAGTTGATAACTTCTGTGACTTGGTGTGAATATTTGTTTTAAGATGTTTCCTAAGCTCTGGGGTACTTCCAAGAACATGTGTTTCAGGGCGGGAGTTGATGAAATTCCTGCATGTTTCTTTGTATTTCAAATACAGCCCAGTGCCATTGTGATTCTAGACTGATGCTACTGTGAAGGGGGTTGATGGTTACAACATATTTACTTAGTGTCCCACGATTTTAAAGGAATTTTTGAAATCTTCTGGAAAGCTTCCACTATGTGCCACACACCTTTAAAACCTGGACTGAGTAAATCTGGGGGTCATGATTTTGCCGTGTTTCTTGAAATCTGCCTAGTTTTAATTTGAACTGAAATACTGAAAATCCCTCCTCCATGGTTTAGTTCAGTGTGCCAAAGCAATAGCCAAACAGCAACGCTGTAGCTTTGGGCAGGGCCACACAGCAGGATGGAAACCTGCTGAGGGCTGAACACAAGCAGCCCACATGGGAAGTGTGAGCTGGAAGGAGAGCTGGGTTGGGCTGCTCCCAAACCCAGTACTGAGCCATCATGACACAGCCACACTCCAGAGTGCTAATAAACAGTTCATGCAAGCAGCTCTCATCCTTCTGCACCTTCTGGCTACGCAGCGTAGCCAGGGGTGGGCAGGTCAGGGGACACAGTCTGGCAGCAGTTGCCACCCAGCTCTTTTCACAGCTAGAATGTCAATGATTTACTCTGTCGAAAGTGGTAAATGGTCCACTCTGCCTGGTTCTGGATTGCCATGGGTATACCAGTGCTGCAGGCTCGAGGTGTAAGCTTTTTGCTGCCAGTTGGTCAGATAAAGGGTTGTGAACCAGACTTTATACAGAGGCAATTGATGAAGCTCATTATGGAGCATGTGAAAGCTGGGGATACTGAAAACTTGAACTGGTTGATGTAGTGGAAATCTGTATTGTCTCTTCCAAGCTTTCTGAGTGCCCATGTTACACTGGCCTGGATCCTGTTTGTAGAGGTGTGGAGTTCTGTCAGAGATGCCAGAGAAAGGGAGCTGGGAGCTGCAGAGTCAGAGTCAGCTGCTCTGACTTCCTCAGTTTTTCAGACACCACCAATTCATTATCTTACCTAGGGGCACCTCCAGTCTTTTAACCCATCAGCACTGTCTAGTAGCCCTGTTCAAAGCTGTGGGCCCTGAGATGCTCTGTTCTCCTGAGGCTGCCTTGCAAAGGACAGTTCAGGTGGTCTTCCAAGGGAGCTGGGGTTGCCCAGAGATGGTCAGTCAGGTTGAGTGCATTAATGTTCAGGCTGCCTGATCCAGATCTTTTTTCCCAGTACATAAACAGTGTTCTTCAGTCACAATGAAGGTGACATTTGAAAATGTGTGGTGCTTTTGGATGCTATGATGACAGATGACCTAAGGACATGGGGGAGGAAAAAAAGGGAGGTGATTAATTCTGCAGTCTCTTCTCTGTGTGAAGAGGACAAGTCAGGGACAACTGACTGAACATGCTTATTAGCTTTTCTTCTTTTGTGCCAAGTGGCCTGTGGAGGGGAGGAGGAAACCAACCTGCAGTTGTGTAGCTGTGCATCCCCTCCTGAAGCCCTTGTGTGAGAAGGCCTAGTCAGGGTTCTGTAGGTGACCGATGTGGTATTTTTTGACAGCACTACTGCAGTGTAAATGAGTGCTTGTTGCTTGATGGCTGGGTGATTTTTGTACGTAACTCAGAAACCTCATCAGTGTGGGTGGCACTTGATAGAAGGGGAACTGAACAGTGAGCTGCTGCCTGGTCCAAAACAGTTCCTGGTAAAATGTCTGCATGTGAATACAGTTCAGGAGAAGGGAGAACAGTGGGAATGAGCTCTGATTGCTGCAGTCAGTTAGCAGACATACACTGTGTTGCTCCCAAGCAATTCCAGGCACTTCCTGTGACTTTAAGGGTAGGGGAGTTATCCTCTCTGCTCCTGAGTTTTGGCAACTGCTGTGGCAACAGTAGCTTTTCCCCACAGCTCTCCACTGTTGCCCCTCTTCTGGGCTGCAGGTGAAGGAGGGCATTTGTCTGCCTGAATGTGAAATGTGTCTCGAGTGTGTCCCCTCACCTGATCCCAGGTGACCCTAAGTGTTGGACAGGCTTAAAGTGAAAGCAAGTTTTAACCTCACAAAGTAAAGGGTTAAAACCTTAGTTACAAAATGGGAAATTATTGCAGAAAGGAAAAATAAAGAAATGCAGAAAAGGCAACAGTTAATACTCATGAGGCATGGGACAGTGGTGTCTCTGAAGCTTATTTAAGAATAAATCTCCTCAAGAACAAAGTCTTCTTGAAAAGCTGCTCCTTAGACCCCTGTTAACCTTGTCTCTTAAGAAGTAAATTGCATTGCAGTTAAAAGCTGGCAGAACTCATACCAGAGGGCTTTTGGCTTTGCTCAGCACTTCATCTTAGGGTTTAGTGGCATTTACAGGGTACTATCTGTGATGCATTCACACATGTGATGAGGTTCAAGGGTCACTTGCACTGCAGCAGAGTAGCAAATTTTTACACAGTGGAATGGATCTCTAAAGTTTTCATTTGGTACTTAAATCTTACCCCAAATCCAGTTACTTGCCCAGCTGTTTATTGCAGTTTTTCCCATGGTACATGGGAATGTGTGCTCCAGAGATTAAGGGCAGGCCTGAAGCAGTAGGCTGTGGTAGAATAGGGTGGGTGGGATGGTTGGTTTTCCATTCCCCAAAATGTCTCAGGAGGGATCTTTAATGGATTTTCTTTCATGAATTTTGAGAAGCTAATGTGGATTTAAAAGGCAAAATCTGAATTTCTCCCTCTTTGAGCCAGGCAGATGTGTGATGTTTGCAGGGTGTGTTGGGTCTGTTCTACAGGGTCACCATGACCTGCCAGAGGAGAGGAAATTCTAAGCAATACAAATATCCTGTTTTTAGGGCAGTTTCCTCATTCATGGTTTGTTTTTATTTGAATAGCTATTGAAAATTCTACAATAAAATTTCTGGCATGTGCCATGTCTACACTTTAGTCAGGATAGGGGAGATGCAAAGAGAAATGTAAAGTGCTTTCAGCGCTCAAGACTTGACATAGGTAAAGAGAGGGGGTTTTAGGAACACCTTTGTAATATGACTGATTCTTCTTTAAAAACAGACTCTGATCCTACTGTAGCAAACTATTCTTCATACTGTTGGAGGTACATCTGTGTAAAATAGCTAAAATCAGTGTGCTCTTATGGGCTTCCAGGGTTCCTTACAGGGCAGCTTTGTACCTTGACATCGCACTCAGTACAGTGGGGAACTGTTTGCATTCTTCACTCTTTTCAGTTGAAGGTCTCATGCTTTTTCTGTATCAGGCTAATAGCAAGACCTGGCTGTTAGGTTCCCCACAGTCTCTAGTGAAACAGCTATGGGGAAAAGATAGTACCAAGGATTTTCTGGGCTTCTCTCACATGGAATCTCTTGTTACAAACTCATGTTATTGTTCAAAAGTATCAACAGTTTGGTGCCTGCTAACTAGATTGTACTACTGGGATAATAAGCAGTATTTAGCAACTACAGAAGACAGATGAGAGGTGAAACTGAGAAGTGTTCTCTGCTGTTGTGTAACAGTCATCTTGGTAGTTTCTTAATGTTAGTGGGTGTTTGTAGGTGGAAGTCTGCCTATGTGCTCTATCTTTTGTGCAACAGATATCTTCCTCTGAGATATATTCCATGATGCTTTCTCTTTTTTCAGATTGTCCCCAGCCACCACAGCCTGAGAATGGAGGCTATAAATGCCACCCTAGTCCCTGCAACAACCCTCTGACTTCAGGCAGTGTCATAGAGTATCAGTGCATTGAAGGCTACATGCTGAAAGGAGATTATAAATATTTGACCTGCAACGATGGGAAGTGGGACTCAGCCATGGAAGTCAGCTGCAGGCTCAGCCCTGGTAAGTGCTCCCTGACTCCAGTGGGACAGTCAGAATTACCTTTGCTTTGGCTTTTCAGATTATCCTTAAATACCAAGTCAGAGTGATGCTGGGAAAGTCCATACAGCTACCTCTCATTGCTCTAGCAATTCCATAAACATGACTTACAATCATAGCTCTTTATTAAAAGCATCTCTTCTGTAATGGCCCATCAGATACAAGATTAGAGTCCCCCAAGCAACGAGACAACCCATGAAAAGAGTATAAAGGAGGTGACATATGACTTATGTAGAGTCTCTTATTTTGACAGATCTCATCCCAGAAATCAGGGAGGCCCTAATTGAGGCATTTTCCATACTTTTTGTTTTTTTGTTTTCCCGATGGGTTTGACAGTGCATCTCCTTCAGTGATGTACCCATCTGCCCACATGTGCACACGGGTGTGGGAGTGAGTACATAGAGGTGATCTTCCTTGCAAACAGGTTAACTCTTGGCCTTGTGTGGCAAAGAGCTCAATGGTGCTGCTTTTCACTATGCTGGCAGGAAAGGGCATTGCGGATGTGTTTTGGTTTTTTTTTACTTCTGTCTAAATGAAGTGGACAGTTTTTGTTTTGTGAGTCTCTCCCAGCTGAGCAGGAATTCCTCCATCAAAGCAGGAAAGTAAAAAGGTTTGCAGGAAAGTGTTCATTATGCAGCCTAGTTTGCCTATAGCTCTTCTGCTTTTAAATGCATACATCCTGGGTAGAGGGAGAAGTCCCCCCTTCAAGTTTGGCTTGTTGAAAGAATTTTATTGCTCAGTCATCCTGAGTCAGTAAAATGTATACTCTGGGAATAAGTCTCATAATCCTTAAAGCAGAATGTGTTAGCTTAATCAGAGGGAAACAAAAGAACCTTCTTCAGGCTCTTTATGGAGCTCACTGCCTATCTGTGATCTCTGGAACATCTTGTTCTGTCCCAAAGACACTGTCTTCTCAGTGTCTTTGTCACAGCCACTCCAATAGCCCCTTCCTGTATAAGGAAGGGAACTGGGAGTTTACCTGGCAGCAACTAGATTCTCAAGAGACTTTTCAAATTCAGCATGAGCTTCCTTTCCACAGTGGTCCCTTTTCCCCTTGCTGCACACAGGCTGGAGAACAAAGTTGTGCAATTTCAGGTAGTGTTCCCCAAGTGGCATTCTTGCATGGTACCACTTGCTCTCTCTATCAGGGCTGACGAGATTGTGTTGTGATGAGCAGCAATCCCTCAGATTTCTTCAGCATTATGAAGGATCAGTGGCCTTACCAAAAATATGGGGCCTCAAAAGTCTGACCCAGGCTTTGAAACAACTGGTCAGGGTTAGAGACAGTTAAGGTTTAACAAGCAGGTCCCCTTTACAGGGCTAAAAAGGAGGAGGTGAGAGAAAGAAAGGCAGTAGGTCTTAAAATTATCACTAATGGATGAGATCACACCTGTTCCATGTAGAGTTAATGAAATCCCTAGCATTCGTCAGATGTTTTGTGTAGCTCTGAGCTTGTCAGCCCCATAGCCTTTAGATAGTTTGTTGTAGGAGTTAGTGAGCATTTTGTTAGAATATGAGATGGTGAATGTGCTGAAGTGTTCCCTGGCTAGTGACTGGTTCTACACTGTTGGGTGCTGATGCTGATAACAGAGTGCCTCCCTTTGCCTGCCTGCTTCCCTCTCAGTGTGCTTGGTCCCCTGAGTAATGCTGAAAACTGGAAACTTTACACAACCCTATTTGTCATAAAGAAAAATGTAGTAGACATTGATTTTCCTTGGGGAGAGGTCAAGCTACTTCTGAAAATTTTCGGGAAAACAAGTTCAAAGCAATTCAACCAATAGGTCTGACCCCAAGAGAAGATATGGAAAATGCAGACTAGTTTTCCAGCTTACATGTCTGTTTGGGGAATAGATTTTTAGGCTATAGACTTAAAAAGAGTGGTCCTCCAGCTTTTTTCTTTTGTTTGCCTGTTCTTCTTCCCTTCATCCCTATCCACAAGCTTGTCCTGCATCCCCCTGCAGTTTGAGACCTGTGCTCCCAAACAATGTGTTGAATGTTGCAAAAACGAATTGAGGAATTGCACACATGGGAACCTCCTGAATGTGAAATGCACAATATTGTGTTTGGTCCAGAAGTGAAAGGACGAGTGTAGCATTCTAAGCGTGATAGGCAGTGCTCAGCAATGCCAGCTCCAGGCCATTCTCTCTCCACTCCCAATTTATTCCTGCCTTGCAAGGGACCTTTAAAAGCCAGATTGGTTCCCATACAGTCACACAACACAGGTGAGGAAGGGTAGGAAAGAGTAATGTGAACAGGGTACCTGTATCTAACACTGAAAACTCAGCATCCTGAAGCAACATTTGCCTTCCCTCTCTGTTTGCTGGCATATGTTTGTATGAGAAAGAAACAGAATCTTGCTGCATCTTAAATATACTCAGTGGGGTGACTTCCACTCCTTCCTTTGGGAGACTCTTCCATTAGCCAAGAAAACCTGTTATTTGGAACTTTCCCTATTGTTAGGCCTAAAATATCCTGCTTATTGTGGTAGACAATTACTGGCTTTGCTGGTGACATCAGGACATTTTTTAGCATTTGCTCAGCCAAATTTATATATAACATGACTGTTACCACTGTCTATCAGTTCCTGTGGCCTGCTTGCACTGCTTTTCCATATGTCATCTGTTTTTCCAAAGGACCCTTGTATGGCCATGTTTTGATTTAGGTTCCCTTTACAGCTGATGGAGAACTGTCAGCCTGAGGTCTCAGCTATCCTCCATAAGAGACAGCTGGTGACCCTTGACTGTACGGAAACCTAGGCTCCTCATATGTGTGTCCAGGTGTATCTCCCAAGAGTAGGCAATGTGGATGTTTTTCCTTCCCTATGGCAGAGATGTAAGGGAGTGGTTGATTTTTTCCTTGTGTTCCTCTTGGTTTTGTAGAAAAGGACTCTCCTCCAACAATTGGAGTGCCCACGCTGTCCATAGTAGCTTCCACAGCAAGCTCTGTCGCCCTGATTCTGCTCTTAGTTGTGCTGTTTGTTTTGCTGCAGCCGAAGCTGAAGTCATTCCATCATAGCAGGTAAGTGTAGCTGGGTTTGGAGGGGCCCAAAGGCATCCTGGTTTTTGCAGCAGACACACATTAAGGTACTTGGTTTAAACCTTCATTTTGGAGCAACTTACCTCCTCCCTTCTCTGCTGCTCTTTTTATCCTCTCAGCAGCACTCCTGCCCCATGGTCCAGCAGTAGTCTGAGGTGGCAGTCTGCAGTGACCAGCTGCAGTCCCCACTCTGACATGCCAATCTGATGAGTGGTTTCCTTGCTCTTTTTCCTTGACCTTGACTGTGAAAAGTTATGATCCCTGCTAGTCTGGCTATAGATCAATATCCTTCCTTTTCTAGCTTTGGATAGCTGCCAAAGTATGTGTCTGCATATGTGTATATATATGTATCCTCCCCCAGTCTGTGAGATCCTATGGACATGAGTTCAGGCGGTATTGCTGATTAGATACACATGCAAAGCTGCCGTGTTCCCTGTTGTGGGATGGGAAGCCTCCTGGCCTGTAATCAGAGAACAGACCAAGCCATAACACTGCTACCAGCTGGGGTCAACAAGGTCATTGCAGACTCTTTCTTCCAAACCAGGTACTAGGACTTTTAAATAAGAGCAGAGAATGACTGTTCAGCAGCATGGAGATTGAGAAGTGAGGCCTTGGAGTCTGCCTTTTTCTGAATAAGTCCAAAACACTGGAGAAGAAAAACCCAGTCTCAGAAGTCTGACTCATGAGCCTAGGTGATTCACACTGTGCCAATTTAAGAGCTGTTTGCCCCACCCCACCAGAGGTTATCTGCATGCAGCAAAGGTGGCAGAACAGGCAGCACTGGATATTGCAGAATATAGCAGTGTAACATGCCAAAATCAGTGGTGGTCAGAGCTCTTTTATTTGCTGGCTGTGACAGCAAAGGGCTCTGAGTCATGATCTTTGTCAAATTTAGCTGTGGAGACAGGTGAGGTGGGAAGCATTGTAACCTTTTCAGCTCTTGCTGCTAAATCCATCAAGCACTGTGAATTACAGCCCCTGCTCATGTTTATGGCAATTCACAGTAGGGCTACAAGACTATGCTTGCTTGACCTTGTTAAACCACCATTCATGTTTCTGTCTTCCCCCAAATATATCAATAGTGAGCATTCGAGTTCTGCTGTGGGAGGTTACTCAAGGTCTCAGTAACATATATATAAAAATACTGAAGCTCAATTTGTTTTGTTTTTTTCTCTCACCCCCTCTTTGTTTCTTTTTTTGAGGCGAGACCAAGGTGTGTCTGGAGATCAGATCTCTATCGTGGTGGATGGTGTCCAGGTGGCCTTGCCATCCTATGAAGAAGCAGTGTATGGCAGTGCAGGGAACTGCATTCCACCCTCGGACTCCCGAGTGCAGATCGTGCTCTCGGAGGGAGCTGGACAGAACGGAGCCAGAGAGATGCAGCAGCAGGACCAAGGGGCTCGTGGTAGCTTTGAAAGAGAAGATGAAGCCCCTGGACATTCTGGACTGTGTGAAGCCAGTGGCTCTCAGCGCTCTGAAACTGTTCTTGTGCATCAGGCTGCTACCTCTTCCTGGGTAGCTGACATGGCTAGCAGTAGACCTGTACACAAAGAGGTTCAAGATTCGGAAAGCAGTGACATACAGAGCCTTTTATCACTCACTTCCTCTGAGGAATACACAGATGGTACGTGACTTGGGGAAGGAGCACTGTATAAGACCCTTGTATGAGTAGTTTTTTCAGTTGACTACTTAGTATGAAAAGGGCAAGGAATACTCGTAAGTATGTCAGGCACCAGAGAAGCTTTTAAAAAGAGGTATTCCAGTTTCCATGGCATGTTTCACAACTTAGATGTGCAAGCAGTGTTTAATACCTCCTTTTGAAGCAGGCAGCGCTTGTGGACTGGGAGCCTAGGGCAGTCTGGAAAGACATTTGGAATTCTGCTGCTCACTCTTGTTGTCTTAGGCAAAGGATTTGCAGAGAAATACCAGCCTCCAGCAACATAGGGCAAATGCAGTGAAATAGCTGTGTGTGGAAAACAAGTTAGTGGGAGTGAGAGGATATGCTTGGAATACAAACCCTTTGCGATGTTTATGCTTCTTCATTTTTAGACTGTTTTAGTAAGCAGCTTACTGCCACAGTGCATCAAGTGCTGCAGCCTTGCCACGCGGGAACACCTTCAAGGGATATGCCCCAGGCAGAGGGGCAAGTCTGTTAGACAGTCAGTGAATCTTGTGTTCTTCACTTCTGTTCTGCCCTGAAGCAATGGCTTTACAGTGCCAGACCTAACATGAAGCTGCAAATTAAGATTGCTTTTGCAGAGACTGCTGTGTCCTAGGCAAGAAGTGTAACTGGCTTGTAATGGCCCAGGGCAGAACTTCTTTCCATGGTGTCAAGCAGTAAAGCCGTGGTAATGCCACCCACAACCCCTGCAGTAAAAAACAGTTCGAGAGCATTTCTGCTCAAGGGTGAAAATCGCAACATCCTAAGATGGGTGTTAAACCTCAAGTGCCTCAACAGCAGAAATCCAAAAGTGAAGATTAACAAAAAAATGTCCACAGAAGTCAGAGGGCTTTGCCTCTGCCCTGTATCATTTTTATCACTGCCTGGAAACATGTATTGCCTCTAAGGCTCGTCGTACAGTAATAGATTACTCCTTGCAGCAGGAGACAGTAAAGTTTGTGTTTGTGGCTCGAAGATGAGGAAGCTGTAGCTACCAGAGGAGGTTGCATTTCTTCAAGGTAGATATGGGCAAGTATGATCCTTGTATTTCCAGCTGTCCCTGTCACAGTAAGAAACATGTTTTGGATATTTTGAGGAACTAAAAGATTGACAATGTCATGGGAAGGAAGAAAACTGTCATTCTTAAGGGAATGGTGGAGGAGCAGCTGAGGACCAAGCCAGTAATTGACTACAGTTACTTTACAGGGAATTGAAAAGACTGTGGAGCCAAACTTGTCTCAGACAGATGTTACAACGTGGGGCAGCAGCCACAAGCTGCAACTTAACAGATTCAGGTTGGGAATGAGGAAAATAGTTTTCAGTAGGAGGGTAGTGCAGGACCAGGTGGGCACTCAGAAAGGTGACAGTCTATTCTTGGCAATTTTCAAGGCTGGAACTGCCAATGGTGGCACTCACCAGGGCAGGTTGGAGCAGAGTCCTCCAGAGGTCTCCTTTCTGCTGCATTGTGATGACAGGAATAGCACTGCATTATCATGTTATGGAAGTGGGAGCCTGACTTGCTTTCAGCAGTAGTTTTTCTGATGTGTGCTGAACTGCAAAAGTTTGATTGCTTCTTCTTTTTTTCTCTCCCCACCATTCAGATATTCCCTTATTGAAGGAAGCATGAGGCCTGCTGTGTTTGTGTAGCCTTGTCTCTCTTGGATTTCTTCCTCCTCTCCCCCTGCCTTTGGGACAGAAGCACTCTGTGCAGCCTTCCCCATCCTTGCAAGCTGTGCCCTGGATACCTCCCAGCAGAGAAGCCCTCAGCTGAATATCCAAAGGATGTCGCCAGGTTGCCTCCTGGATGCACCAGTGAAGTTGGTGCAGCACTGGCTTCCCCATTCCATCTGCATCAGGGGCTCAAGGAACAAAGTGGATTTGAGCTCTCTTCCCCTCGTCCCCAGCCAGATGTTTGACAGCAGTCTCTGAAGAGCTGCTTTTTTCTTGTGCCTTTCTCCTCCTCACACCGGCTTGTTGCAGCTTCTCGGCCTCTCTAGCCCTTCTGCTGCCCAGAGAGCAGGGGCTAAAACCGCTCGCTCACTGGGTGCAGACACAGTTTATATATACATATATATGTTATATAGGCTCTTCTTCCAGCATCCTCTATGTCATAGGGTAGGACTAAACGCCTCGATGGGACTGAAGCTGGGCTTGGGAGGGATCCCAGTTAAGGAGCAGCTTGTGATATCTAGAAGCGCCTCAGATGAGCTGGGCTGTGCGACAACTTAGCTGTGCCATAACTGTTCATTGGGACTTGTTAAAGTGCTGAAGGCTGTGAACTCCAGTGTGTGGGAATGCCCTCTGCCCCTTCTCAAGAAACATCTCTGCAGGAGTCCATTCCCAAAAATTACTTTTGTCTCCTCCTTCCTTCTCTACCTGTGCAGCCCACTTGGTTACACGTTTCTAGAAGCTGGGACTGTACTGCCAATAAAACACACCCTTTCAGCTTTTGTCTGGTGTCAGAGCAGCTACTGATCTGAGGTTGTAAAAGAGCCTTGGAGAATGACCAGTGGGTAGCAGGGTCCAGAAAGCTTGGAGGGTGTGACTTTCACTTTGCTAACCCTGTGTTAACTGTGAGTTAGCCCTTTCACTGAGGCATCAGGACTGGAACCAAATTCGTGGCCCTGCTTTTCTAAATAAGCTGTGTGTCTCAGAGCTTTTTCACTTAAGGTAGTTCTGCACTTGAGCTTATGTTCCTCTTGGTCAGATCATCAGGCAGAGGTAACGCTTGAAAGTAGTTCAGGTATTTGAATATGTCAAGAGAAAAAAAATGCCTGTAGGTAGTGAACGCTTAGTGCCATTGGTACAATCCCAAATTACCTTTGCAGCCACACTCGGTACCTTGGTACTTGAATCCTGGGTAGCTGCTATCTCAGGGGCTAGTGTATCTTCCTAACTTCATACAGCAAGAATCTATTTTATCCTAATGGACTTCAGTGGGTCCACAGAGAAGGGCTTCTTCCTTGTGGCTGGGTGTAAACAGCATTTATGAAGTCTCTCCTAAGTACAACAAACACAGTTGCCTGTTGCTGTGAGGGAAGGCTGGATACATTGAAAGCAGTGCCAAGAGGACACCACAGCTTATTCCATAACCTAAGTTTTGAAGATTGTTTCAAGTTCTGGTAGCAGGGAAAAGAAAATCCAAAAATAAGTATACCTCTGCCCTCCACAGTTCTCTGTAGCAGGTCAGAATGTCCCAGTTGCTGTTAACAGGCCTTTTGTTTTGCAGGAAGCCACATTTGTCTGAGGTAGGCAGTCCAATGACAAAATCTTTGTGGTGGTTGTAAGGTTCTTCACCACAGAGGTCTGGACACTGTGTCCCATGGGATTGGTTTCAGCAAGAAGAGTTGGCTTCTTAGATGCATGTACTTTGTCATAACTGTCTTGAAGTAACTAAGAGGGCGTTTGCCCTGTGAGGAGCTGCTAAATGTTTGAATCGGAACAAAATATGGCCTTACACATCATGTGGTAATGTACAAGTATATAGGGATGCTGTCTTTGCTGCTTTGCTTTTTGTTTGTGATCCTCACCATCCTCATCCTTGTTGTTTCAGGAACATACCATCACAGCAGTTGGTAAAAGTGACACAACACCTTTATATGTAAAAATCACTGTGGCTTAGCTCCAGTTCCTGGAAATAGGGATTGGCAAATAGTATCCAGACATGCCTATGTCCCTGATAAGCTGTTAAATCTCAGGACACCTGGGACAGCACATGTCTGTGGATGGAAAAATCCTATTTTCCGCATATTTGTTTTAGAGGGAAATTGTGAGTTTAAAAATACAGTATTTTAAACTTCTTTCCCTGTTGTCCGTGTTACCTTGCATTAACACAAGGATTTGATAAATCCAGTTTGGGTGGTTTGTTTATTTTTTTGTTCAGTCTGGATGATGAAAATCTCATATCATTTTACAGTGGACTGCAGTGTCTCAGCTTCAAGCACTGTGGAGGGCAAATATTGTTTGCACATCTGCTATTGAAATTTTAGAAAATAAGTATGAGAAAGTTTGTGTTTAGTTTTTAATTCCTACATTGGAGTATTCTCTACGCTTGAGAAAATTCCCATTCACTGGTTTTATCAGGGCAGATGCAGGGATTGAGCAAGTGAAGTGGTAAGGCTGAGGGAGCGTGGAGGGAAGAATGTGACTTCTTTCCTGCTGCCTAACCAACTCGAAACAGGAGTTGCTCTTTGATGCATTTAAGGTCCTATCTGCTCAAACTGACCCCAGCAGTCAAGATCTAGAAGTTGAGCACATGCTGCCTGCCTGCAAGGGACTATCTTTTACCTTAGTGTTAGCACTGGGTTGGTGGGAGAATCCTGTACGGAAACGAAGTTGATCCTGAGGCCTGACCTTGCCCTGGATGAATGCCTGGTCTGCCAGCAGAAAGCACATATTGTGTGGCCTGGCTTCCTCTCTCTGTAAAGCAAGCAGCTGCCAGTTTGGGAGAGAAAATTCAGTTTGGGTGGGCAAGAGGAATAAGCACAGAAGAGGGCGTGCTTTAATTTTGTTTTGTTTATAGAAATTGGGGAAAATGGCTTTACTACGGAGGGGGGAAGTGCAGAGTTGGAAGGAAACATGAAAGCGTAGATCTTGTGATCAGGCATAAACAGGCAGCTTCTGCTGCTTGCTGAGGGCATACCAGCAGCTCCCAGGACAGTCTGCTGGTGCTTCCAGCGCTTGCAGAAGAGCTTGTCCCCTGCAGCAACACCTGTGGGAACTGGCCACAAGGAACCATGGAAGCCACAACATGAAAAACAGTTAATGGGCATCACATTCCTCTTGCCCACATTCTCAGCTTTGGAGTTTATTTTCTTATAAAGTGAGGTAGAGTGGCTGGGGAGAAAGATGAAAGATGTCTGCTTGACAATTTTTTTTTTTTTCGAAGGAGAGGGGGAGCAAAGCCTCACTTTACTGATTATCAAGTGATTGCTCCTCATTTGTGTTTGTTTTACTCCTGCGGAGGCTGAAGGATTGGGACGTTTTCTGGGCAGAGATTTAGGAAAAACTAAATTGCACAGTCCTGTCTTTACTTACAGGAGCAAGGCCTGAAGCTTAATGGTCCCTCAGTTGTGAGCTTCTGCTCTATCTCAGGAGTGGTCATTACCTCTGAGCAGAGAGTGTTTTCTCTTTGGCTGTTGCCACAGGGAAATGCAGCCTGGATCTCAGCGTGGTGAATGGGAAGCACAGGGGCTCAGCCTTGCAAGATGTGACTTTTTTTCCCCACCTATGTCTGGCAAAAGAATTCAAAGGTATTTTTTCTTATTTGGCTCTCCCAACAGAATCCTCTCATGTTCTGTTACACATGCTGAATCCTGTGGTACTTGAGGACATTGAAATTATTAAATTACATTGGAAAAATAAAAATGGCACTTATTTCAAAGGTTTTTTATTTTTGAAGTCTGGTAGGTTAAAAAATGTAAAGGGCATTTCAGAAACTCAGAGTACTATGTGCAATAGAAGAACCTCCTTGCTCCCTTTCAGTTGCATAGTTGTTGGGTTTGGTGGTTTTGTTTGGTTTTTTTTAATAAATACAAGCTACTGCAGTGTTTACAGTGCAGGTGTTGCAGAACTTGGACCAATCTGAGAGAACCAGAAAGTGAAGCTGACAGTAGCCCTCGGGGAAGCAGGGCAGCCTCCTGTCAGGATCTGCACCCTGAAGCTCAGCTCAAGTGCTTGTGTCAGAGCCTCCTGCCACCTTGAAGAGGGTCAGCACCACTGGTGAGAAAGATGGGTTTGTTTTAAGTAGCTTGCATCTCCCACTGCACAAAAGGTAAAAAATGAAGTCAGGAGGAGAGACATGCTGCAGCATGTGAGCCTGTGGAGTTGTTGCTGAGTTTAAACTCGGTGAGTCTGGGGGGGAGAGGAGCTCAATGCATTTTTATCCTTTTCCATAGCCACCTGCTCTGTAGAAGAATGCTTATGTGGCTGCTTGTTGTTACCCCTTGGACAACTTCCCTCGGGTTTCTCCTTAGCCTTGCAGCTCTGGTGTGGTGATTCTTTTCATGCAGCTGGAGCCTTTATTTAGCCTTTCAGCACATGGTCAGGTGTGTTAGGAAGAAATCTGTTGCACTTGTTTTGGGAGGCAACATCCTAAGAAGCTCCCAGAGGTGGATGACTTGGGTCAATACTAAAGAGTGGGACTAGGAGAGCAACAGGCTCAGCTATTGGAAATAATCTGGGATGGTTACATCATTTGCAGCAAAGAAAAGGGAACACAAGACAGAGGGTTAAGGAAGAGCTCTGACTGAAAACAGAAGTATGCTGCAAGCTAATGGGCTAATGCATTCCTGGCCAGGTTGTAAGGAAGCACGTGCTTTGTTTAGATGATTTAGCAGACACCAGCAGGCTTGCTGTATAAAAAAAACAAATTAACATACAACTGGTTGGACACTGAGATTTCCTTGTTGACCTTTTTAGAACATATTTGCAAAACCTATTTTACTGTCCTGATAGCAGTTGTTTTTTTTAAAAAAAAATCTGCCTTATTACTCTATCCAGATATCTAATTAAATATATTTCATTTTCTGGTTTCTGTGTGTAAATGCAATAAATCCCATCCATTTTGCACATCCCGTCTCACCCTTCAGTCTTTACCAGGGAACTGCAGATTGAACTTGCTCTTTGTGAAAACCTTGGTTGGCAGAAGAACTTAATTAGAAAACGTTTATTCTCTATGATACACTTTGAAAGTGCAGAGAGGTTTTCTAGAGCAGGCTTCATTTCAAGGCATATTTTTATACAGGAAATAAGCCCCCTTTCAGCCCTTCATCCTTTTCTCCTGCCCTTCCACACCAGGACAGAGCAGGCCACTTCCCACACTTCTCCAGGGCCCTGCATTCAGCACTGCTTCCAAACTCCACCCTCTGCAGATGATGTTATGGATACATGTACCCACCAGAATGGGTTCTACTGGCACCCTGCATATGCTTTCTGCAAGCTGTTCTTTTGCTGCTGTCCTGGGGTGTACAAGGACAGAAGCAACTGAGTTGAGCTGGAAGACATTTTAGTTTTGATTCTCAAATTTGCTTCCTTCCAAAAGAAAACAAAGTGAAGTTG